GTTTGGTGACCAGATTTCCTAGATTAAAACCATTTTTTCTTTGGTGGCCAAAAATAGCATTGAAATCTCCCTTATGATTATTTCTGTGTTCAAAAAAAAAATGGGGACAATTTTTATTTTTGGGGAAATGTTATAAAATAAAAGGTCACACTTTATTTTGATGCTCCATTTGTTGAATTTAAATTTCATTGCATCTACCTGATAAATAATTCTCATTAGATTATAAGTAGACTGTTGGGGTTATAGTGTAAGTTGACAAGTACTTGCAAAGTGTCTTATAGTCAGTTAAATGTCTGTTGAAGGAGCAGTATCAGCAGATATTAAGCACACAGTCTACTATTACTCAACTTGACTATCAAAATATAGTGTTTCTAAATATAAAAATATTAATAAATAAAATTAATTGTGGCAAACATGGATGAATGGTTACCCAAAATATTGTCAAAAATAAATTAAGTTTAAAACTAAACAACAAAAATCAGGACAGTGTAAACTATTTTTAAAAAGTATGTAATTTGATTATTTTTATACCATTTTTTTATACCATTTTGTGGTCGAAAATAGCACTGAAATCTCTCATAAGATTATTTATGAGATCAAATAATTCAGAAATAAACTGAATATTTTTTATTTTAAAATCCGGGCCAAGAGAACAAAAATTGTGGGAAACGGACATCTGATCACTCACATTTTGTCAAGATAAATTAAGGTTTTAGCATTGTTATTTATTCTGAATGTCGATGCTTTACATAATTTAAGGTTATTTTCAAGATACTGTCATGGGAATTATATCAGTATTTAAAAATGGCAACACCAATCACCATAATGGTGACTTTAGGGTATCATATAGGTTATTAATAGTGCAATGTTTGTCACAATGCTATCATAGTAATGACACTGATATTAATAGCAGCTGGTTACACCATAAATTTATATTACTACATCAGATTCCTATTTATTTCTAAGTAAAGGGTTGCAGCTGGAAGGACATTTGCTGCGTAAAACATTTGCTGGGTAAGTTGGCGGTTCATTCCGCTGTGGCGACCCCGGATTAATAAAGAGGCTAAGCCGAGAAGAAAATGAATGAATGAGATTCCTATTTATAGGTTACTTAATGCTCTACTTAATAACCGTGAAGTCCTCAGCAGTGCACAGGTAGGAAGAGAATTGTTATATATCAACATATATAATAACGGGAACACAGATTACCACTTACTATATAAGTACACCCCGCACAAATCTCTCTTTTAAATTCATAATTTTTATTAGGAAGCTTTACAATATTATAGTTGTGCATACACATTAGATTAGTCAGTACTAAAGCTAAATCTGGATCTTATCTAACAAAATAATTAACATTAACGGTCCAAAAACTAATGCAGCCAAATTTATATGTTATCGAAAAATATTAAATACAAATTTATAAAAGGGGTAAACCAAGAGAAGCAAAAAAAGAAAATAGTTAAAATTTTGTAGGTTGTAGTTTATTTTTGCAATATTTTGCTTGAATTTAAGTGTATTTTATATGTGTATTTCTAAATATGTTTGGTGATTGAAATATTATTTTAATAAATATATCTGTTTAATAAATCTGTTTTGTTTAAATGCACCAAAATACATTGGCCACATTCACTGAGAAATTAATAAAAATATAAATTTTTTAAATGGGCTGTACTCAATTATGCTGAACGCTGTATTTAAATATATATCTAATTGTCGTGACATTTTCTAAAATATGTGCTGTGTAATATCAGGCTGCTTTTAGCATTTTACAGTTCTTCTTTATGTTTAGAGTATCTTATTTTTCTTTTTCTGTCCAGGTGATTTCATACAGCCTCAACAATATTTAGGTCTGGATCCTATAGAGGCCATTTCATGACTGCCTGTGTTTCACCAGTTTTCATTGCAATAAGCAGATCAGTATCATGCTGAAAATGAAAACTATTCCCACTGAAGTCCTTTCCAGAAGAAATGACACAATGAATTACAACCCTGTAAAAAAAATTATTTAAAATCTGTTCACCATTCCATTAATTCAGACAATGTTGCTAACAACACTGGTAGAAATGCAGCTCAAACCAAAACAAACAGCCTCTCTCAAACATTGTCATAATAATTAATTAATTAATTAATTAATAATTAAAACTTTAACCTAGCCTCTATCCTAACAAGCCAATCATCAACTGAAATATAATTTATTCCACCATAAAAAATACACTTGCGACTGGTTTTGTAATAAATAAAATATATATGTACTGTAAACTTTGATTTAAAAAGCATGCAATTTAATTATCGGGATAATACAGTTCTGAAAAGTGCCGTCAAATGATTCCAGAAGTTCCCTTTGGGACCATGAAGACGAACAATCATAGAACAATCTGACTTTCACTCTGACCCTGACCTCTGTTTACAGTTTCCCCAAAATGACTGGCAAGGATTCCTGCTGGCCTCCGACTGTAAAAGTTCCAAAGGCAAGAATAATCTAGCTCTGAGCAATTACTAAATACTCTTCTAATCTGTAGGATCTCTCCAAACCGTTTCCAAACACCTCTATTTCATGCTGTTTACCTCTTGATTGTTTCCAAGTGGCCGCTCAGAGGTTGTGCACTGAGTTGGTATGCGCTCATGGCCATGTGTTGGCTCGTGGTGGGGGGCCCAGTAATCAAAGCCAGGCCTCAGGAAGGGCAAGGATAGATCTGAGTTTGCAGCTGCTGATGCCATCTGATTTGAGCACTGGCCCAGTATTCACTAGCCATATACGCGGGGAAATATGTCCTTTGACTGGAAAACATTATTCGAAACTGCAGCGGTGGACACAAATGAAGTTTCCTGAGTAAAAGTATAGACGTTAAAGTTTTAAGTACTTCTATTAAATCCTTTTTATTTTATTTTTTTGTATTACATGTAAAAAAAGAAGAAGAAAGAAACAATGTGAAATAAACACACACCATACTTTTTTTACTACTCAAGTTTTAAAAATAAACTTCATGAATGGAATTGAGTCAAATTTGTTTAACCAAGCTCAGTAAAAGTTAGGTTATTGAATCATTTTGCTAGTAATTTGTAGTTACTTTTCAAATAAGAACATTTTACTCTCTCTTTGTACATTTTACTCAAACAAAATGACAAATATATAAGTAAACACGCAGTAGATTTCTTGTTAAAATCTATATTTAGTTCAAACCAGTGTTCTGATGAATCTTTTTATATTCTTAACAAAACTTGTCTTACACAGATAACTAATGCTAATAATCAATGCAAGTGCGCAAACAAGTGAAAATAACTTTACCATACAACCGATAAAATATTAAAATAATATAGTATATAAAATGTAAATATAAACTGTATAATAGTATAAAAAAGCATATAAACGTTTCAAACTAAATGTTAATAATAAATGACATACACAACAATTATAAAGCAAAATATAGCACAGCATAAAATCTGATTCAGAATGGAGTGTTTGAACACTTTGCAGAAATGTGTATATGTGTAAAAACAAAACAGTGTAATGTGGCACTTGTGGAAAAAGCTAATGAAATGCTAATCACAGGGGAAATCATTCTCCTCTCTGCCATGTTCATCAAAATGATTTCCCAATAGTAATGTGTCCAATCATTTTAGCAGAGAATATGGAGCCAGATGAGTCTCAAAAATAATACATTTACAAAATAAAAATACATGCACAGCACAATTCACATCTACAAAATCTGATTCTTAAATTCAAAACACAATTCATAAATTTGCTAAACACAATTATTACATTCAAAACAGTTTATAAATACACAAAACGCTATTCGTACATTTTAAATAAATAAACAAACTATTTCGTTAATACACAAAACACAACTTGTCAATTAAAAGAATTCATAAATACACAAAACACAACTCGTAAAATCAAAACAAAATTATCAATCCGATTCGTAACTACACAAATTTGTAAATTCTTGACACAATTTACCAAGTACATTAATCCAATTTGTAACTACAAGAACCAAATTTGTAAATTTAAAATACAATTCATAAATACTTAAAACACAATTTGTAAATGTCAACAATTCATAAATACACAAAAAACAACAGCTACACAAAACACGATTCTACGCAACCACACAAAACACGATTCTATCCAACTACACACAACACGATTCATAAATTCTGAACACAATTTATGTGTTTACGTGTTTTACTTGTGATCTCACAAATTGTGTTTTAAAATTACGAACTTGATTTTGTGCATTTATGAAATTTATTTTGTAATTGTATTATTTTTGAGTCTGGTCTGACTCCATAATATGAGAGTCTAAAGCATGTTTATATGTTTTATATGTTGATTTTGGTGGTTTATAAGGACTCTTTGTAAAAAACAATTTCACTGAATATATTAGTAATATCTAAATCACTTTACATAAAAACGCTCAATTTTGTGCCTGAAATCTGCAAATATTCATATATCGTATTGGTAACTAAAAGTGGTACTGATGTGACCTCAGAAATAATAAGCATAACTATATCTTAAATAACCTTAAAAACCTTGTTCTTATGCATTCATAAATTGACAGTTTCACAAAATGAAAAATTCTGCCATCACTTACTCATCCTCCACGTGTTGCAAACCTATTTCAGTTTCTTTCTTTTCTTAAACACAAAGGAAGATATTATGAAACATTTTCGGGGAGAAAAACAGCCCTTTTTGTTTTTTTCCAACATTGTTCAGAATATCTTCTTTTGTGTTCAACAGAAGAGAATAATATGAACCACTTGAGAGGGTGAAAATGATTAGGAAATCTTCATTTGTGGGTGAACTATACCTTCAATTTGAATAATATAAACAATAATATAAAATGTCTCTATCCGTGTCAGTCTCTATGTACTGCCGGTGTCCTACATCCAATAATCCAGTGTTAATAATACAAACCAACATTGCTTCAATTAAATAAAAACAAAAAATGTTGGATGTTTCCAGTGATTTGATATTAAAACTTTGTTCTTTGTTTCAGATTCGGATGGACACAGTCAATAACCTGGAATGGACCAATTTATTGTGGACAATCACCTTGGATTTGTTGAAAAAGCAGAGGATGCAGTTTTTACTGGGACTTGATATAGTCAATGGTATTGACATGGAACCTTCTGTCAGTGGAGGGAGAGTTGGGGGATGCCAGAAAACACAGGACAGATATTTACAACTTCCTCAGGTAAAGCAATTCAATATTTTCTTCTGTTTTTACCTTTCTTTCTGCCAAATGAAGTAGGCTATGGGTTCAAATCTTACAGAGTGCACATTTATAATCATGTATGGCTAGATTCTAAGTACTTTTCATGACAATTAGAGTTTTGCTGACTTATTTATTTAGAGTTACAATCAGTATTGTTCAAACTTTTGTGGTTGGTACATTTTCATTTTCTTTTTTTTACGTATTACAATGATCAAAAGTGACAATATTGACATTTATTTATGTTAAGCTGTAAAATATTTCTCTGTTCTGCACTGCAAAAAAAATAATAAATCTTACCTTTCTTTTCTAACTTAAAGTTTTTGCCTTGTTTCAAGTTCAAATATTGAAATATTCTTAAATCAAGATGGTTTTTCTAGACTAGAACAAAATATTGCTGTATTTTCAGAAATAATACATTAAAATTAAATGTGTTTTTACTTAAAACAAGCAAAATAAGCTACCAATGGGGTAATTTTGCAAAAGCTTGTCCTACTTGGAAATTTTGTTTTGTTTCTAGTCCAAATATTTAAAAATTCTTACATCAAGAAACATTTTCTAAGTAAGTAAAACATAATGTCTTGTTTTCAGAAATAAGATTTCACTTTTAAGTGAGTTTTTCATTAAAACAAGCAAAATAATCTGCCAATAGGGTAAGAAAAATAATCTTGTTTTTCCTTTTGACATAAGATTATTTAGCTTGTTTTAAGGAAAAAAAATCACTGAACATTGGTATATTATTTCTTAAAATAAGACAATATGTTTTGCTTGTCTAGAAAATGCTTCTTGATTTATGATTTTTTTAATATTTGGACTAGAAACAAGACAATAAATAAAGGTAAGAAAAGCATTTTATGCAGTGAAAAAACATAATATATCAAAGTGAAAACGAGATTACGATTTTTTTTTTACTCAATTGGCAAATCATTTTGCTTGTTTTAAGGAAAACTCTCCTAATGTTGACTTAATATTTCTGAAAACAAGACTATTATTTTTTTGTTTGTCTAGAAAATGCTTCTTGATTTAAGAATATTTAGATACTTGGACTAGAAACAGGATGTAAGAAAAGCATGTTTGCAGCGTGTAATCAAGTTGCTGCCTTAAATTTGTAAGATGATTCAACTTCTTCAAATCTTTTTTTTACCTCAAACTGATAAAGTTAAACCTCATCTAACTTTCAAATGAAATTTAACTTGTTAATTTATTTTAAGTTAATATAACTTAAAAAAATCTATGCTCATGTCATGATTTTTTGATCAAATATAAAATAAGAAAATAGTCTAAATATGAAAATAACTCTTAAAAGGAAAACATTTGTAGAACTTTACAATACAGTTAAATTAGTTAATGTTATTAATTGTATTTACTAACACAAACATATAACGATCAATACATTTTTACAGTTTTTATTAATCTTTTTTAATATAAGTTAATGGAAATAAAGAGATTCATTGCACTGTAAAACCCTTTATCAAATGAAATGAGTGGCGTTAACTCAAAATATACTGAAAGTCAATTCTACTCATTTGAAAAGAGTTTTGAACTCAGCGTTGAAGGCATTGAGTTAATTAAATACGTCATTACTTCAATTTTTTAATGGATTAAGTTTACTGAACTCATAGATTAGTAGTTTTTTTTTACTCAAATTGTTTGTAGCAATCGGTTTCCTCAAACAGTTTGAGTTGCTTAAACTTATTGGGTTTTACAGTATTGAGTTGGTTTGAGTTCTCTTCATTTAATGGCTTTTACTGTGCTCATATTGCTTTGTTTACAGTACTCAGTAGGATTAGTTTTTGAACTTAAATGGTTTGTTGCAATCGGTTTCCTCAAACAGTTTGAGTTACCTTAACTTTTTGGGTTTTACAATGTGTTATTCAAAGCACAACTTTTCATAATGCATTAGTTAAATGCTGTACAAGATTGTTTATACTTAGTTGAAATTAGTAAATACATTAGATAACATTAACTAATCAACCATTATTTTAAAGTGTTACTCAAATAGTTATACATTATATTGAGCAATGAATAGTAAGGATGTTAGAAATGCAGATTTGACATCATAGTAATCATTTCACTCTAAAAAGTTTTTTTTTCTTTTCAAATTAGTGTTTTTCTCAACCTCTTATATTTATGATCAGTTATTTCACTAAATATGGCAATAAATATAAGTTATTCTTTGTCATAAAAGTAAAATTACTGAACCTACACATATGAACCTGTGAAAAATGCTCATTTATAAGAAAGTTTCAGATGGCATTTAGAGTTTTTTTTGCATCTGAACTCTTCATACATATTTAAAAAGAAAAATTACAAACATATTGTTGACCCCAAACACCTAAACAATAGTGTATATAAACTTAAATCATATAAAAATAGTATGTAAAATAAAATAAAAGCATTTTTGGCAAGGTCATCAAAAAAACGTTTGCGCATTTTTGTTAACTTTGGCTTGGCAATCCTTGACAAGCGTTCCTTTAATGTTTCTTTTGTGAACTTTAAGGTGTGTCAAATACCAAGATGAATGCTTAACTACACCCAGTCTTGATTTCCCATGAGCAATTTGTAATATGTCATTAAATTCACGGCTCCACACAAACTGCTCTTTCATTTTCAGATGAGCTAATCAAATAAAGTCATAAAAAGGAGGAACAGGACCTCACATTCCAAAGGCCTTTGATCTTTTAGCAATGAATCCATGAGATTACATGCCTGATTATATCCAGGTGTTGAGTCATAACTTCAGAGGTTCAGAGCATAGAAAGTAATATTCGTCTTTAAGGCCTGCTAATTTTTCTCTCTTTTTTTTTCCTTCACAAAGACAGCTCCTTTTAAAGACACAGTTCACTCAAAAATGCGTTTACTTTCCCTCGAAGTGCTTTTAAACCTTAATGAGTGTCTTTTTCTGTTGTACACAAAAGAAGATATTTTGAAGAATGCTGCAAAGTGATAACCGTTAGCTATATGCTTCCATCCAAAGATGCGAATTAAATTTATAAGCAAAACTGTATGATGTTCACTTTTGGAAATAAAGGTACAAAATCTGTGACTGAGCTGGAACCTTTTCAAAAAGTACACTTTTATACCGTAGGAACTAGCACTGCAAAAATGCTTTTATCACTTGGATTTTATATCATCTTTCTAGTCCAAATATCTCAAAAAATTTTGGAGTGTCTATTTAGGCCAAATGCAAATTGCACACCTCGTTGGAATAAGCTAAGTAAACAATTCATGCCCATCACCGTCTGATTGACAAAAGTAAAGAGCGCATCAGACAGCAGCGTGAATGGCGTAGCTCGTAAAGCGCGAGGCAGCATCTTTTGATGCGATCAATCATAAACCTTGTTCGGATACAGCGTCTGATGAACACATTCTTCTTTTTTTTGGGGGGGGGTACCATTATTGACTGTTTTTTAAACTTTAAGGCAAACTGTGAAGTTCTTTCATTTCATCTTTTTAAGGACCTGTTAGCAACAAAAACGCACCTTTTGAAAAGGTCCCGTCCCAGTGACAGATTTTGTACTTTTACTTATGAGATTACATACTGGAATTTATTTGGTAAATCTGTTTTCATCATGGTTAATGCATATTTTTTGGTCACACTTTACAATAAGGTTCATTAGTTAATGTTAATTAATGCATTTACTAACATGAACAAACAATGAAAAATACATCTACTACTGTATTTGTTCATGTTAACGTTAGTTAATGAAAATACAGTAGTTCATTGTTAGTTCATGTTAACTCACGGTGCATTAACTAATGTTAACAAGCACAGACTTTGATGTTATTATTGCATTAGCAAATTTTCAATTATGATTAATAAATGCTGTACATGTGTTGTTAATGATTAGTTCATGTTAGTAAATGCATTAACAAATGAACCTTATTGTAAAGTGTTACCTATTTTTTTCTTATTGGATAAAAAGTTACTTGTTTTTTATGTGCATTTTGAAAATGCATGTGTATTGTGAAGTTTCTATGAAGAATTTTTTATGCGATATTCCAAAATGCATATAAAAATAGGTGGATGTAAACATAATTGACATCTATGGTAGGAAAGAAAACATACTATCTTCAAAATATCTTCCTTTTTGTTCAACAGAAGAAACTCAAGCCGATTTGTAACAAGTGAAGGTTGAGTAAATGATGACAGAATGTTCATTTTCATGAACTCTTTTATTGACTCATAAAATCATATTTACCCTCATGTAATGTACCTCTTTTTGTGTCCGTTCTGACATATTTCTGGCTCTTAGTCTTCAATAGGCTACAAAATCTATACAGTCTGTGAGTTTAAAACATTCTCATCCATATAAAAGAATTATGAAGACACTTCCTACTGCATACTTGTTCATGACTGAATGAAAAGAACAGTGTTTAAATCCCCTGCGTTCTTTCATGTTCCACTTTGCTTTCATCTCTTGTCAGATGGAGAGATACAATCCGAAACGTACCTTGATTATAATCTCTTCTCACTTTGAGAGAGGAGGCCTTTTTCTCCATCATGTTTTCCTGTTCTAGCATAGATTTAAATGAACACTCCCTTTTTTTTTTTTTTTTTTTTTAGAAATAAACATAAACATTTATGGATTCATTCAGCTGTTCACCTGGTCTGCCAGGAGCACTTTTAGCTTATAGCTAGGCCCAGACAGTATCTGCAGACATGTTTTGCTATTTCTGCGCAGAATTTTGTAAAAAAAGAAATCTGCAGAATTATGTGGAATGATTTTGGGAGTATCGTAACTAAAAACGTAATATATACAATAAAACATTTTATGTTTTTACCTTATTTAATTAAATAAATAACACACACATAAATAAATAACTTGATTATTTAATGTTTATAATGCAAATCCAATTAGATTCACTTATTTGGTAAACTAAGCAAGTCTTTCATATAATATCTCTACTAAACCACAGAACATATTAATTTACAGACTGTATTGTAAATAAAACAATAATATTAATGAAAATTCAACAAC